CGTTGCTGTTTTTTTAAATTACTCCGTACACTGAGTGCATTTTCTAAAACCCAATCTTTGGTCTAAAAGTAAACAAACAAAAAAAAAAAAAAAAAAGGGAATGAAACCCCAAAAAAGCAGTTCGGTAAAGAAAATAATAAAATAATAAATGGCCAAAAGTAGTTCTTGGGCATCATTCAGTATTAATTCTGCTTAAATACAAATTACATTTTAAGGGTTTTTTATAGTTTTCATAAATTTAGTTTGGTTTTGGTTTCTTTTCTTTCTTTCAAGGTCTGCACCCACCGACATATCCATGATAACTTATAATACTGCAAACATGGAGAATCGGGCGGTTTTTAGTGATAGACTTATCATATTTGAATAAAAAAATTGCAAAAGCAGTCACTATTTAGATACACATTCTACTATAATTTTGTCTTCCAAACTTCATAGACTACAATGCAATCTCCCCACATTGCACCTTGCTGACACTCCTCACCTTGGTGGAATAATAAACAACCCTAAAGACTGAACAAACGTACAGAAAAATGGGGGACTTAATAAAAAATACCTGGACTTTTTTGTTTTGCTTTTTTTTTTCCTTTTAATTATCATTTACAATGCAAATGTGTGTAAAATGTTCACTTACAGTCTGATCCCATGGATGTTAATGTATTAAAGGGTTTGAAGAAGACCCCTGATTTTGATGTGTGAAATAATCAGAAAGTCCTCCGGAAAGTCCCGTTGTAAAACTTGGCAAAGAAGGTCTTAAGGACTCACAGGGGAGAGTGGAGGGCGCCTGTGGCGACGTGGAGGAGGAGGCTGCCCTGGCCGTCATTGAAGTGCTGCTTTGAGAAGTCATTGAAGGGTGAGGAACATGGGGGAAAAAGTAACTCGTCTGTCCTGCTAGGAGATTTACAGAGCAGGGGTTTAGGGAATAGGTGCCAGAGCAGGGAACTGACAAGCCACACGGCACTGAGGCGGCCAGAGCTGCTGCTGTGAGGTGATGAGTGGCATAAGGTATCTCTCCATTGACTAGTCTATCAACACTTAACCCATTAGACGTGGAAAAGGAGTGGTTGTTTCCCAAGGAGTTTTGAGTCAACACTGAGCTGTAGGGCATGGGGTGGCTGGGGTAGGCAGACGTGGTCCCATTGTAACTCAAAGTGCTGCTGGCCCGGGGGTGGTGTAAGGAGAGGAAGGGGGACATAGGCCAGTACAAGGATCCTGCCCTATCCATGAATGTCAGTCCGGTGGACGTGAGCCGGGCGCCCCGCTTGAAGGCCAGCTTGGCCCGAGAGGTGGTGGAGCGACGGCGAAGCTTGCCGGTGGTACCCCCAATGAAGACATCGTCGCTGGAGGGGTCCAGCATCCAGTAGTTCCCTTTGCCCGGGTCGTCGTAGTGGCGGGGAACCTTGACGAAGCACTTATTGAGGGAGAGGTTGTGGCGAATGGAGTTCTGCCAGCCCTGTTTGTTCTCCCGGTAGTAGGGGAAGTTCTTCATGATGAACTCGTAGATGCCATTGAGTGTGAGGCGCTTCTCGGGGCTCTGCCGGATGGCCATCATGATAAGCGCGTTGTAGCTGAACGGCGGCTTCTCGTACTTGCCGTTCTTCTTCTCCCCCTCCTTCCCGCTCTCCCCGTCCTTGGTCCCCTCCGCTGCCCCCTTCTTCTCCTCCGCCGCCTTCTCCTTCTCCTCCAGCTCCGCCGCTACCGCCGCACCCGCCTCGCCTTTGCCCGCCAGCATGTCCGCCTTGGCCACCTCCAGGGCGCCGGAGGCGGTGGCGGCGGGGGGTGGCAAGAGGTGCTGCCCCTTCTCCTCGTCCTCCTCCTCTGCTGCGGCCGCTCGCTGGGGCTGCTGCGGCGGCGGGTGGTGATGGTGGTGATGGTGGTGGTGGTGGTGATGGGGGTGGTGGCTGTTGTGGTGGCTGTGGCTGCTGTGGTTGTTGTCGCTCTGGACGGCTTCGGGCACCAGGCTGTTTATGCTAAAGGAGGATTTCGGCAGCATTTTCACTTCCTTCCTATCTCCCATGTCCAACATCACACACTCGTCTGAGGGGGAAAGTTGCAGCGGCCGAGGGAGCTGCGCGCGGGGCGGCGGCGGAGGTGGCGGCCGGAGCGGCGGCGGTGGCCGAGGCGGCGGCGGCGGCGGCACCACCGGCAGCGGCAGCGCAGTTGGACCGCAGTCTCAAGCACTGGCAAGTCATGTAGCACAGACAGGAACCGCCGGGGAGGGGAAAAAAATAATAGTCATAATAATCACCGATCAGAGAAAAATCAAGCCGAGTCGGAGCGGAGGAAGAAAAAAAAAAAAGATTTAAAAAAGGGGAAAAAGCCCTCTGAAACCCAAAAAAAAAAAAAAAAAAAAAAAAAAAAACAACCTGAAACCTTCTTGTATTATCTAAAAATTCTTAGAATAAGTACATGGTAAAAGGAAGGCGTCTTACTCATGAAACCCAGCATATCCATATGCACACACATACGTTTGTGTCTGTATATATATATATATATATATATAT